ATTCCATCTGTGATGACCATCCAGGCTCCACTGCTGTTGCTGAGCCCTGCAGCTGCTTGAGGTGCTCAGTCTCCTCCTGAAGCCAGGGCCGCGTTATAGCCCCAAGAGGTCACCTCAGTTGTATCCCTGCTGCAAACAAACTCCTAGATCTTGGATTCACGCTCATTGCAGCCTTGAAAAAATGGGATGGAGATCTTGAATGTAAGCTGCATGTCTTGATTGTGGGTGGCAGTGCTTTGCTCCTTCCTTAAACACACATAAGGAATTTCTACACCAAGCTCCCACTAGTGTCTAGAAACGTGGATGCAGTTACGCTGCAACGAGCTTCAGTAATTCTTGGGGGCGGCGTGCGTTGCAGGAGATGTGACGGTGCCTATCTCAGCCTGAATGAAAAAGGCTTAATGTTAGGATCCCTGAGGAGATCTGGCAGTCGGAAGAGTGTCCATATATCCTGACTTAGCTGAGGGATGGTAACTTGGTTATAGTCCACTATTCATCGAAGCCCTTGCTGATATCCGTATGACTGCACGGATTGAACTGTCAGTATGCCTAAACTGACGTTAAGGTCTGTTGCTTTTAAGATACTGTTCTGGTTATGGATATTAAGGAATCTGATTATTGAATCCTATTTACAGGTAGAGCTATATCTTCAAAGAAAACCACTGTGTTTTTCTTGCAGATCCGCTGCAGGTGCTGAATTCTTGTGCAGGAGTAATGCTGAATATCACTACGGTTGTTCTGTTATCTAAGAAGTGTTGTTTTTTTCCTTTTTTACAGGCAACCATTGGCATTGACTTCTTATCGAAAACCATGTATTTGGAGGATCGAACAGTGAGTAGGATTTTTGTTGCGCTTCTCCCTGTACAGTAGGAAGGAGGATCGGCATCTGCTGGAACTGTGCAGCCCACAGTTCTGAGATCACTTGGAAGTACAGGCTGAGCCTGGAAGTACCAGCTGCTTCCAGACTGACAAGTGCTGTGGCGACAGCTCCCTTCTCTGTTTGGGGAAACGGGAAATCACCATTTGGTTCCTCTGTGGAGGCTCATGAGTACCATTTCACCAGCTGCAGAAGGAGCTGTAGTGTCTCTTTGGAGAAAGAGACGATACGGAGAGTTGCAGGGATGCTTAATGGAATGTGGAGAAGGAGACCGCGCTCAACCCCTTCGATTTTTGTTGTCACGAGACAGAAGGATAAAACAGAAATTGCCAAATGCTGCCAGTTTATAGCTATCTTGATAGTTCATAATATTGTTGAAAAAGAAGCTAATTGGCAAATGATACTTGTTTCTTAGCTTGATGCAGTTCTAGTTCCTGAACTCTGGAAGCCAGCCTGTGGTTTATAATGAGCTCAGATTCTTAATTAAGAAATTCAGCCACTGAGCTATTCACAGGAGCAAACTGTGCAGTGCCGTGTAAGCTTATGGGATCGTATAAACCCATGATAAATGTGATTGCAGTCATGAGGTTGTTCTTGCCGTAGCAAAACTGGCCCTGACGCGTTCCTTGTAGGGTTTCTTGCCTTTTCTTTCAGAACCTTGATGGTAGGAGACATTCAGCCTCGTCTGTGAGCATGTTACTTTGCAGCGGGGCTAAGGCTTAAATACAGAGTAATAACCAGCGTTATATTCTCTGGGAAAAATTCCCTTAGTAGCTTTTCCAGCGCTTTGACAGCAGCTGAAGGCTCCTTCTTCAAAAGCATGGCTTGTGGCCTGAAATACCTTCCACCCAGCATCCTCCCAGCTGCTGGAGGCGAGATGAGTCCTGAGGAAAGATAGCAGCAGAGCGTGAAAATCTTGCGTAGGCAGAGCTGCAGGTGAACCTTTGCCTCGGTTTTCTTGGTGCTCCTCTCAGTTTGAAAGCTGAGCAATGCCGTTTCTCCCATTTTTGTAAAGGGGAAGACAGCGCAAAGCCAGGATAGGCACACACACCGGTTTGGCTGCTGGCGCTTGGGAGAAATTGCCGGAAAGGAGACAGTCTGCTGCTGCTCCCGGTCCCCAATTGTCTCCTGCATGACTTCTCTAAGTTTTCCTTAGCTGCTCTTTTTTTTTTTCTCCAAGTAGTAAAATTTATTTACTCCTTTATTTTTAGTGGCAGTTTGGCTTTTTTAATTTTCTCCCACCCACAGATCAGGTTGCAGCTGTGGGATACTGCGGGTCAGGAACGTTTCCGTAGCCTCATTCCCAGTTACATCCGTGACTCTGCTGCTGCTGTAGTAGTTTACGATATCACAAGTAGGTATATTGCACTTGGGTTTGACCTTTTTCTTATTTTTCTTGCTTGTTTGACTGATTTTGTTAGGTACGGTTGCAATTATGGGACACAGCAGGTCAAGAACGGTTCAGGAGCTTGATTCCTAGCTACATTCGTGACTCCACTGTTGCAGTTGTTGTTTATGATATCACAAGTGAGTGGGGGGAATTCTGCGTTTCTAATACTCTGCCCCTTTCATCCTTTCCCTTAGCTTTGCATGTCCTTCAGTCATCTGCTTGTTCTTCGTTCTGGCATGAAAAAAATGACGTGTTTTCTTTTCTTGTAGTCAAGTTTTAAGCTGGTCACCTGATCGCTGCCGATGTAATGTATAAACTGCCTTAGGAGCGACATCGGTCTGTAACCCCTTCCTCTTGCATTCTCCGGGAGCCTCCAGTCCTGGCTGGTTTTTGTTGCACTTTACCCTCTTTCATCTGCTTTTTCATCGTAATCTCACCGATGACTTTCGGTCTCAAACACCTGAATCATGTTCATAGATATTTGAATTCTTAAATTCGAGTCTTTGCGCCGATAGCTGTAGCTTGCTTCACTCCATTTGCCCTCCCCTCCTTTTTTTCCACCCCCCTCCCCCCCCAAAAAAATCTGGGCATGGGCTGGGGGGAAAAATGCATTAACATCACGTTTTCATTTGAATCAGTCACTTTCACTTTGTGCAATATGTAAAACTTCACCACTGAGCCCTTGTCCTTTAACAATTGCTCTTTCATTTCTTACTAAGGTATGTACATTTTTGTGAACTAAAATATTAGTGCTCTTCTCAACCTTTCTCCTCTGTCCCTCCCCGCAGTTCAGAGACCCCTAACTTACTAGCTTTATGGATTTACCAAGACCTGAAATTCTGTTCTAGCAGAGCTCAACCTTCAGACACTTTTGGTTCGAAACCGGAGTTGACTGCAAGCAGTGGCCTAATTCCATACAGATGTGAAAGCGCTCCTTCTTTGATTTATAAATACTGGAAGGT